AAAAAAAAAGAACCTTGATCTGTATAAAATAAAAGCGATAACGATGATGTAAAAACAAGATATCAGTCGCATTAAAAACGTTACAATATAGAAATTACTAATTATATATAGCAACGCCTCAGAGAATGATGAAGAGCTTATGAGGTTTGCGAAAGGAATACATAATCAATTTATCAAGCATAATTTATTGACAAACAGAGAGAAGTTTATATTTCGTCAATTGCTCCGGATGTCCGAGATTATCAACATTCTCTATCGTTATCTTTCTCAACTGATTTATTTTCAAAAGTTGAGGAAGAGCTTCTTACTTTTATGAGAAAACGTATGGATCGCAAAATCTTGATGATAAAATAAGCAAACATCTCAGTGGAAAAAATGTACTGTTCGTATGAGTATATATCTGATAGCCTTCAGAGATCATGACCTACATCCTGCACTTGATACACATACTAATTATTAACTTTCTATTAAGGGTACATTCTGGTATAAAATTTTCAAAAAATCGATTTTTTTTATTGCATATTTCAATTGTACAACATTTCAAGAATACATTGTCAAAATTTCAGAAAGAAATTCGAAGAATTAACGATTCCACAGCTAAAAGTCTATTTGTTTTTTGTTTTCAAAATTTCAGAAAGAAATTCGAAGAATTAACAATACTATAGCCAAAAGTTCTTTTTTTTACAGCCAAATGTTTCAGAACGTTGAAAGCTTACTTTATGGACCAAGTATCGCTGATTAACGGTAAATAGTTTAATTATCATTTTATTAAAAAAAAATCTAAAAAAAACTTTAAACGCGTTTTTCTCGAAACGTTGTATTTTTGAATGGTTGACACAATTTCGGAAAAACTTACAGACCGATTTAAAAAATTCTTGCGGCGTTGTAGATTGATTAGCTATCGCGTAAAGCGGAATAAACCGTTTCATTAAAAATTAAATTTTTTATCCAACTTTTTTGAACGAAAACAAGCGTTTTTTCACATCACTTCCTAAAAACACAACTCGCGAATTATCAATATTTTTCAATAATTTTTCAATAATGCTTTACGCGATAGCCACACAAATAAACTTTAAGAAAAAATTTTGTTTTTTTTTCAGGCTATTAGTTCTCGAGATATCGTGTCAATCGTTTGGTCATTTCATATTTTCAACGCTGTGCCTTTCAACTAATTTTTTGGAATTTTGGAATGAAAATATTACTATAAAAATTTTTTTCATATATTGACATGTGTATTAATAAGTATGCCAAAAATTAGAACCGTGTGTCTTATAGTTTTCTTTAAAAAAAATTCCAAAAAAGGCCTTATTTTTAGTGAGGTTACACCAGAATGTATCCTTAAATTATTTTAATTTCAGCAATGTAATTAAAGAATGATGTACTAAATTGGTACAATATATATCGTAATGATTAATTAAATACATATATTATGTATATGTTTCAACATATCGTCGAAATCATTAATAAGATCATTCAATAGAATGTTACTAGTTAGTATCAAGTGCGCAATGTAGCACTAGATCTGTATTTTCGCACGGCAGACTACCGATAGAATCCGAGAATGATCCACGCACAAGAGCGAACGTCACTTGCACAATAAGAAAGAAAAGTGCAAAGTCCGCATTCGGACGAATCACCAATGGGCGTGATAACGATGTGACAGTCACGAGGAAACGTCGCGTAGAAATTTCGCTGGCGTATTTATTCGACCATATAAAATCACCGCGCTCTTTGTTCCTCGGTATCGCCATGATGCGCGATGGAGAGGGTTAATTAAAATCTAATAATAGCACTGCCCATATATGACGTATCTAACGTTACGACAGATGGACTTTACTTTATTTCGAATAAATAAATAAATGAGTTAACAAATAATTCTCGCTTATGACGCGAGAAGATAATCAAATTTTTGTCGTGGGAGAGAAAAAAGGATTGACGACAAAACGCCGTGACACATTTAACTGGCGATAATCTTAATTTATTCATAGTTGTTTTCGTAACCTCCTAAAGATGTGCGTGTTAGTTTTATAGTGGACTTCGATTAGGTCAAATGAACGTGAACGAAAAATGAGGATTGCGTAATGCAATTTGACACAAAAAAACGTAAGATAAACGCAAAATTCTTTACTTGTGACAAATGAGTTTCCACTGTCTAGGTCACTGCAATCATATAAACCAACACGTTACGCAGTGTGTAAATAAACGTCACATAAAGCAATTAAAGTAGATGTCAAAAAAATATGATTTGCCAACCTAGCTATATCTCGTTGAGGAAATTCCCTATGTGATCATATTAATCTCTGAATCACGTTGATTTATCGTGCAATTGGTTTGCCAAACTTTTGATTTGATATAATAAAATGTTCGAAATAATAAAAAATGAAAACAATTGTAAATAAATTTAATTTAAAAAATTAAGATATAAAAAATTGACAAAAACAAATTATATCTATATGCACACTGGAAAAAAAAATTACTGAATTTTAATAAATATTTGTTTCAATAGTACTAGCGAAATATTTACTTACAGTAAATAAGTATTTACTCAAAATAAAAAAATTATGTTTAAATTAAATAAATATGTGTTTATATTTAGTAAATATTTCGTTAGTACTATTGAAACAAATATTTACTAAAATTTAATAAATTTTTTTCCAGTGCATGAAACTGTAAAATACTTTCCGTAAAAGTATGCACATTAATATAATATTAAATATTAGAACGCTAGTTAGAAAAGAACTCGGAAAAGAATTTCCCGTAATGTCAAATAAATGACAGCAAAGGACAATATTGGAAAATAAAGGACAAAATTGAGTTTTGAAGAAATAAAAAAATTTAAAGGATAGCTACCTAAAATAAAGGACTGTCCTCTACAATAAAGGACGTATGGTCACCGTAATATTATATGTATATTATTTAATTTTATTATATACATATTCTATTATATACATACATATTCTATTATATATATTATTTAATTTTATCGTATGTATCTTATCTTGTTCATTTATAAACTTTTCTTAAGTAACGAAATGAATTCCGAATTCTTACACAATAATCAACATGGCTAGTTAGGAACCTTGATGATATCTCTTAATATTTGTTCGAAGATCAATGCAGTTTAGATAATATAAAAGAACAAAGTATCAAGTATCGAATAGGTACAAAGTCTTACTGATGCGACATTAGCGATTAATCGTCTGTAAAGTCGTCGGTAATACACACGTACTAAAATATATTCAAGAATATAATATTTATTTTTCTCATGGATGCAATTAGCATATAGCAGTAAATTTCATAATGTGTTTCTATCATGTTCAAGTGCAAAGTTTGACAGCAAAGATCGATTTGAAGTTGTTCTGATTGGTTTTTTTTTGCTAATATTCAAGACATTTTATATTATTGAAATATATCTTTTCTTATGATTGACGCTCATTTGCGAAATTGATCATTATATTATCTCTTTCATCTATTAGGTGTTGAACTTAATTCCTGCCGTTTTTCATCTCCAAAATTGATTTGTTTCGAAGGGAAATACCTTAATCAAAGTATTATTAATAAAGTATTATTAATTAGTAATAAAGTAGAAAATGGAGGAAATTACTTTGATTAAGGTATTCATTCATCTTCCTTTCGAAACAAATCAATTTTGGAGACGAAAAACGGCAAGAATTAAGTTCAACACCTCGCAATAATTTATCGTAGAACTCGTAAAGTAAAATATTATTCCAATAATACAGAACACGTATTTAGGTTCGTTATCTAATAATTATTCGAGAATATGTGAAATAATTCCTGGCAGTCTGAGGCTTCAGATTGAAGGTCTTATTGTAAATAGATGATTGGCAACAACAAAGTTCAAATTCCGAAGTATCTCTAGATTCTACGTCGATTATCAAGCAGGATGATTTATCAGTGATTATCGATTATCGTGGAAAAATTACAGCTTTTTGGCCAAAATTATTAGTTTGAGGGAATCACAAAAATTTTCAAATTACTTTAAATGTGAAACAGAATAAAATATCACTTAAATGTATAAATTTATCAATTATATATATATATATATATATATATATAATTGATTAATTAATGTAGCTGTGTTCTACTATCTTTAATTGGCTAGTTTGATAAATACTTTGACGCGTTAAATTAATAACTTAATTTATTTATTTAATTATTTTTTAATACTTAGTTTTATTTAGTTTTACTTAATTAATATACACGTTGAAAGCGCAATAAATTTTTAAATTGTTATTTTAACTTTCTTTTTTTAATTCCGCAATCAGTGGTAATGATTTAAAAATTCCGCAATACTTAAACAACAAATCCAATAATAGATATTTTTTTTAAATGTCTTACGTATTGCATGATTAGAAAGTTAAACGTCATAAATGCGAAAATACAGTCCAATAAAAAGGAAATGAAAACATTATCAAATATGTGGACGAGGGTATTCTGATAACGCTGAACTATAACATTGTTAAACACAATAATAATGATGAACAATATTACAGCATTGCCCCAATTGTATAAGTGTTCTAGACGAGTGCATTGCATTGCTGTTACAGGTTGCAAAATTTTGGAAATTTTTGTTATAAAATTTTCGTTTCTTAAATTTTCCCTTATTACTCAATATACCATTACCCACATTATTGTAACGCGGCAATTTAGATCGTGTCACAGATTGTGAAGCTTGAGGGATGCTTATTTCTTATTTAACTTACGTATAAATTCAGAAAGTTGCAGCAAAATATAAGAAAAACGAACAATATTAAAATTGAAAATCAATGAGATTAGACACATATGAGTGAAAAAATGTTATATTCAATGTTATTCGGTCAAAGCAGTCCTTCGTGCCTAATAATATTTCGTCACACAGTTTGCTTAATTCAATTGGAAATTAATGAATTTACAAGAAATATTATAGATACGAAAAACTACCTTAACCGAATATTTTTCATTTAAGCAGAAGAAAAAGGTATACAATTTTAAGAACTCACCCGCTAATTCCATTACTAAGCAGTCCGTTCTGCATGCTATTTTTTCCACCTTCCACCATGATTGAAGTTACTTTGTTCCACGCACGTTTGATTTACAACACATACACAGCTGAAATTAAAAAAGAAAATATCAACGCAAAACACATAGAAAGCCGCTATGTATGTCGATATTCTCTGGAAACGAGGACATTTGTAATTGCAATCATATAAAAAATTACTTATTCATTGTAGAACACTTACGATAGAATACTAATGTCGTACAGAAAAAACAGATTTCTCAAGGATAAGTATGATTCCAGATATTCAGAAAAATTATACACATGAACAAAAGTTACGCAAATTTGCCACAAAAAATTTATGCATTTTTCGTTACATAATTTTAATTATTGCTTTAACTGCTATTAAATAATCTACTTCTCTAACTCTGGTAGTTGCCATTATTTTAGAAAAGTCATAATAAAATATCACGTGCATAAAAAATACTGTATTTTTATGTAATTAAAGGAATTATTGAGAATGTTGTGGAACTTACAACCATGGGCATGTATTTGAAATACTTTTATTTGAAAAACAGTATTGGTGAGGCAATTATATTTTGTGTTTGTTCAGAGTACATGAAAATATTTTGTATTTTGTATTTCAAATACTAACATTGATAATCAACCTTATTATTTGAATTACAAGAAACAAAAAGCTTTCAATCTTTCGATTTTAAATACAAAATACGTAATACTTTTATGTGATCGGCTAAAATAAAAAATACAAAATATGCTTGTGTTGCAAATAGTGTGTTTTAAATAAAAGTATTTCAAATACATGCCCAACTCTGCTTACAACTCAAGAAATGACATTAATTATTTAGTTATTTTATTTTGATTTATTAATTCACAGACAGTTTACGTTCCAAATGGGATCTAACTTATCAACACAAATCAATGTCCATTGATTGATTTGTTTCTTTGATCCTCAATGCTTCTTTTGATCGCACATCGTTTTCTAATTATAGGAGTTACTTCATCAAGGCAACTGACAGACGAAGTTCATGTTCAACACGGTTCAACACGGTACACAACGTCTTGCAATATTGCGCATATCTTGTACAGGTGCAGCCACAATCGTGAGCGATTGTATGTAATTCAGTTTTCATTTACGAATGATTAGTGTGGAGTTCATGAATACGGTATTATATATGTATGGGGAAACACAGAGTGCGATCTGTTATTCATCAACATTATACACCACGTAGCAGTAATCAAACGCGTTTCATAATATCCTTTTTCGCCACCTCTTCGTCGCGCTTGCTCTGTAGAAAACTAAATAACCGGTATTTATTTCGTTCAAGGGCACAATTATTCATATTTCGGGTTTTCGAATTTATCGCAGAATTTAAATTAACTTCGAAACGAAGGATATTTGCTGCTTTTCCGTTTAGCATATTTACATTATTCATTAATTATTAAAACTAACATTAACTCTTATCTTCGTTCAGAGAATTAGAAAGGAGATAAGAATTTTAATTGCTTACATATTATCGGTGTTCTATGCCAACTACTTTTTTTCTTCTTAAAATTACGCAGTTCTATGCCACGAATAAAATAGGAGAACGTGAATTTATGAAATTAATAATATAAATACTTTTGTGTGTTTTTTTTTCAATTAAAATCTTTCTACTTCTCACGTTAATCGAAAACGCAAAATTATTAAGTAAATGTCGAACGCTTCAAAGAACGAATGATACCTAGAAGGCAACGCACACAGTCTCATCGTAAAGTACGGAAAATATTCCAAGTAGACTGTTTTTCTCTCGGCATGATGGTACACGTGCAACACACACCGCAGATAACGATAAACACTACGTACCGTTGCAGCTGGCACAATATAATGGCCGAAACACGCTAGCGATGTATCTCATACAAGCAACTTTCACACACTCGTTAGAGTACATTGCTCTTAATTGACTTTTATTTAGTTTCTAAATCTCTAATAAGCATACTTCATTTAATTTCTGTTATAACTATAATTTATTTAGTTTCCAAAATCATTATATTCTCTTTGAAAATTATATTTTTATTGAAGTTATAAATTGCTAAATATTTCGAAATATCAAACGTACTAAATTTCTAATAAATATAATTTATTTAATTCGTGTTATAACTATAATTTATTTAGTTTCTATTGTAAAAATAATTTATTTAATTTTTTCAAAATTACTACATTCTCTTTGGAAGTTACATGTTTTTATTGAAATTATCAATTGCTAAATATTTCGAAATATCAAACATATTAAATTTCTAATAAATATAATTTATTTAGTTTCTATTGTAAATATAACACGGTAGTCGCTGTGTTTGGCTTAGAGCCGAGACACTGTCGTGTCTCCTGATTTATTTAGTTTCTTAAATCTCTATATTATCTTTGGATGTTACATGTTTTTTTTTTATTGAAGTTATCAATTGCTAGATATTTCGAAATATCAAACGTACTAAGGTATGCATATTAACACTTACCTATATATAATATTTTAACTGGAATAATACAATATTACTGCAATTATACTTCAATCTTCGCGAATATGTACGTAAGCTTCATCACAATTTTAATACAAACAATTATCATTATATATCGTTATATTTTGGTACAATAAAAACTTAATAATGAGTTATAGATAACTTATGAGTCAATTCTAAGCAGACTCGTAACGTGTTTTCGACTTGTAAGAACTTATGACCAGTATTCTAATTTTATGCATAGATACGTATCGTAAGACGTACAATTATTTTTAAATATCTACGATTTCTTGTAAATTTTATGACTAGTAGAAAGCTATCTGTAAAAATGTTATATAAAGGTATATTAAGCATTTTAAATTCTTACAAATCGTACAAGAATATGTTACGAGCCTTATGATTCTGCTTAGAATTTAGGCATTAGTTTCAAATTTAAACAAAATTCTCGCTGATTAATTTGCAGAGCATGCAATGTTTGGATGCTTTTAGATTTTCTCCGTGTTCGAGGACGATTCACCTCTTCATCAAGATGTTATGATTCAAACTAATCACACTACACAAGACTAATAACAAATATAAGAAAATTCACAAATATTGAACCTAATCATTATATTTAAATATTTGATTTTATCGATCTCTTGAAATATCTAGAATCAAATATATTAACTAGTTTATATTGGAAATAAGACTAACGCTAACATAAAGTGTAAAAAAATTTACCCACTAAACCGAGTAAATCATAG